GGAAAGAGGCAGGGTGTTGCGGGGCCTGATGACAGAGGGAAGCGAGCTGTGCCTGGTGGCACGGAGAAGGTGTCACTTCACATCAGACAGAGGTGCGCTGGCCCTTAGGGTCAGCGTTGAGAGCCCTCCAGCTGGACTGCGTTTGGCTGCATGGCCAGGCCTCCTGGATGCTGTTTCCGTGTCCTGTAGGTCCCTGGTCCTGCACACATGTGTCTGTCCCAGCGCAGGACACAGAGAGGTGTAAACACCAAGCAAAGCACCAGTCCTTCCTCATCTACCGACGCACCGCCTGGTAGACCAGAGGCAGAGCTGGGGTGACCCTTCTACTGCAGAGGCAGTGTGGCCCAGAGGAAAGAGTTGAAAGAGTATTAGGATATTTTACTTTGTGGTTTTGTGACTTTGTGACTAAGTCCCTCGGGCCCTGTTGGCTTCTCATCTAAGAATTGGGAACAATGGGAGAAGCTACCTCATGGGATTAATTTGAGGGATAAACGAGATACAACATTTAATTGCTTAAAAATAGCATCTGGTACATAGGAAACATCTAGCGGATATGAGCTATGATTATTTTGGAGTGGAGACATGTTGGCCAAGCAATTTAACCTCTCTGAGCCTTCATTTCCTCAGCTGTAATGAATAGGTAACTTGCAATGTAAAATATAAAGTCTAAGTGTCTGGCACATAGTAGGTGTTCAATAAATGGGAGAAAATGTTGTTCTTATGTGTCAGCGATGCATTTCTGAGCACCTGGCCTTGCTCTTCTGCTCTCAAGTTCATGGCTGGAGAAATAGATGGGCTGATGGGGGTAAACTAGCTGTTAAACGGAGTTTCAGATCTTAGTGGGGCTTCCTCAGACACAAATATGTTTCTTCTTTGAGCAACTGGCCATAGGAGTTCGGGTGGACGAGAGAAGCCAAAACTGGATTCGAAAAACTTTCTCTGCTCAGCTCTGAAGAGAGAATATCTCCGATTGTGATCGTATCCGATCAGTGCTTAGCTCTCCATTCACCCCGTAGGTTCCTTTTCTGTCCCGTAGCCACTTCTTGCATCGCTTCCTCCTTTCTTTGCCTGTCCTGCTGCACAGAGCCAGGCCTCATTCCAGAGGGAAACGCGGGAAGTGTTGCTCCTTCCTCGGTGAAGTCAGCCACGTTTTGCTGGATTTGACTAGCGCTCTGGGTTTCAGAGAGTCGCAGGCTGAGGATTGCCATGCAGATGAGAGGCCTGTGCTTGGCTCTCCTGCCCTGTCCCCATCAGCATGGGCAGGATCCTTGGTCTGAAGCCCTGTCATCCTCAGCCTTCTCTCCCGTACACCCACCTCCCCAGGTGGGGACCTCCCTCTCACACGGCAGCTCTTTTTGGGTGTTGACAGCTTTCATTATCAGAAAATATCCACTGCCCCGCTATACCTTTTAGAGAATGAGGCTAATTTTATTTCCCTTGAAATATTTAAAGACAGCTCTTGTTTTTTCCCACCTTTTCTCCCCCCAGTTTTTAATTTTCTAGACTTAGGGAATGACTTCCCCCGCTCTGATCTCTGACTTGGGTCTCGAGCTTGCCCATCCCTGCGGCTAGATTTTTGGGACAATGGCATGACTGCCGTTTTCTGTGTATTCGTGGTACGCATCTGGTTTGCTCGGCCTTTCTGATGTGCTCTGTAGGACTTTTGTGAAATAAGTCCTGAGGCTTCGGCTGGAATTTACTTAGGGGAAAGGGTCACGAGTTCCTGGCTGTTGGATTTTACTGGCAACACTGAGAACTAACTGTATGGACCTTTGATTCTGCTTTGATCTTTGAGTCTCAAAAAGGTATGATCCCCAGAGGGCAGGCAGGCTTTGGGGACATGGCAGTGTAGTTGGCCATGGCAGGGTGTTGTGGAAAGGGGTTGCAGAATTGTCATCTTGTAAACATCCGCTGGGCAGTACACTTTGGTGTTAAGAGAACACACTTGACAGCCAGGCTGCCTTGGTGCAAATCTTGGCTCGGCTGCCTACCAGCAGGTCATTCCCTAACATCTCTGTGTCTCAGTTTCCTCGAAGTGGAGACATTCACAGACCCTCTCTTAGAGACTTTGTGGGGAATAAATGAGCCAATAACGATAAAGCATTTAGTATAGTATCTGGCACATGGGAAGTACCAGGCTTGTACTTTTTGTTCACGGCATGTTCACAACTATCATGTGAGGTAGGGAGTTTTGTTCCTTTTTATGCACATGAAGGCGCTGATGTTCAGAGAGGCTAAGTAATTTGCCTAAGGAAGGACAGCTGACAAGAGGTAGGAAAAAGGCTACATCGTCGGTCTTTCATACTCTGCTATTACTACATCCTAAAGAGAGCAGCCCAGTGAAGCCGAGACGTCTTGAAGGAAACAGGATTCTAGGCATTCGTGGGCTGGGATCAGAAAGGAGACAAGAGGGCTTCCAAAAGAGCAATGCCAGACTTCCTCCACTTCCCTGCTTCATGGGTCACGGGCATGGGTGGACCGCTCCCCAAGGCCCATCCAGAAAGAACATCCTGTGACTCACAGCCACTTCTCCTTCCCCGCCTGAACCCTCCCCTCCCCTCCCCGGGAGCAGCCGCTGAAGGGGAGGTTGCAGCCCCAAACTTTGTGTTTTGTCCTTGTGGGTCCCCTGTGTGTCATCTTGTTGAAAGAGCTCATGACCTATGTGTCAGTATCATGTCATCAAGCTGGAAATTCCTTTAAATCTTTGGGTGACCGCAACTCATATTCTGTATGCACTTGTCAAAAGTTCTAATTTAGGGTCTTAGGGTTTATATTTTGAAACCTTTCTACCTAACGTGAAAGAGTTGTCCTGTCTGTCACAGCCAGCCTGCTCCCAGAGCCCGGGCCTTCGTTTTCTGCCTGCCGTGGGGCTGGTCCCCGCCAGGCTGCAATCCGGGGGCTGCCACGCTTGCTGCAGCACTGTGTTGAAATCCTGCCTGAACGAAATCGAGTCAAAGGTCAACATTACCCAGGCAAGAATAGAAAGCACAATTGTACTCGACGACAGGACAGCGTGTACCCCGCAATATTGGACTGCCTTTAAAAAGTTTGCATTGCTCTCATCAAGAATAGTAGGAAAAAAACATTATTTCTTGACTTTTGCTTTTCCAGTTTAAGATTTATTTATCATCTTATAAACATAAGATTATATTTACAATCTTGGGTGACGAAGAGCAGTTTGGGAGTTCAGTTTGTTTCCAGTTGAGAGCTTCCCATTTCCGGTCCTCTTATCACTGCTGTACCGGGCCACGAAAGGGCAGGGCGATCTTAGAGTGACACTTTGTCCAGCGGATGAAGTCGCATCAGGTAATGATGCCCTGTTACATTTTAATATATCGTTACCTTCAAGACTTACACCGCCACTAGCAGGTTGATGTTATCATCCCCATTTTATTGATGAGGAAATTGAAGCTGGAAAGTGTTATGTCTGGTGCCCAAGACCATTGAATAAAGTTGGGAATTGAATCCAGGTCTGTCAGCATCTTTCCACCACCCTGTGCTGCCATGTTGCCTTATACCGAGAAGTAAGGGTAGCATCATTAGCTTGATGCCAAAACATGATGAGGCATTTTTTTAAAGAGTAAAGAGATTTATTTATTTCCTGATATAGTAGAAAGATCCAAAGCTTTGTAGCCAGAGGCGATCGGGTTCCAGTTTGCCACTTGCTTGCTCTGTAACCTTGAACAGGATATTAACCTCTCTGGGTCTGTTTTCACATTAGAACAATGAGAATAATATATTTCCTGGAAATTTGTTTTAGGGACTTAAGGGAATAATTCATATCACGTGTCTGAATGCTAATCAACTTCCATTACCCACAAATCATGACCTTTCCCCTTAAAATATTGTATTAACTTTAAAAGAAGAGAAACTAAGCTATTTATACATGATACATGTTAACAATTCTTCCTTAGTCCAGTCTTGGAAAGAA